AATTCCCTAAGTGTGAGTTATGCAAAGGATTTTTGTTCATTCAATTTCTTCAAAGTATACATGTGAAAATATAGTAAAAATTCACTTAAAACCAATTTTTTCTTTTTCTCAATTAGAAAATCTTATGGTCTTTCAAATTTTTCATTAGTTTTTCTAATTGATATTATTTGATATTATGCTTAAAAAGTTGATTGTCATCTGGTGGAACTGAACAGCCAAAGATATAGTAACTTTACACTTTCACAACTTATTGCAGCTGTTGCTAATAAAACTTTATCTGTTTAGGTGACATTTGAAAGTTTATATGGCTTGCATTTAATAGTTTCAAATGGTGAAAACAGATTAAAATTTCAAATAATTTGCACTGATTTACAAACTTTGTTTAAAAGTATTCTAAACACAAGTTATATAAGTACAGTAGGTGATCGGTTAACGAACATAATTCGTTCCAAGACTTTGTTCGTTATCCAAATTGTTCATTAACCGATTATTGATTTACCATAGCTTTTCATGGGAATTTGATTAATTCATACCGGAGACTCCAAAAAATAAAAAATATAAATAAACATAGTAAAAAAGTATATATGTAATAGTAAAAATACATATATATGCAGTCTTGCATTTTTATTAGTTATGTTTTTTTGTTTGTGTGATTTAAAGAATCTGTCCAATGACAATTGCTTTTCTCTTTTCTTCAGGATTTTTCGAAAGTAGTTAATAGTATTGTAATTGTAAAGATCCCCAATCCCATTAACCTTATTCTGTTTGGATGCCATTCGTATGATCCTTGTTCTGACATCCCTGGAGTTCTTTTGTCGTCAGATCAGTTTCAGGTTCCATTATGAGCTCTAAAATGCTCTGTATTTCTTGGATGTGATTTTCATTACTCCATTAGCAGCTTGAGGCTTCTTGATATAGCTTTCATAGCTAAGATTGTGCCTACTGTAGACCTGCTCAAGCCATACTGCGTAGCAACAGCAGACATCTTGTGTCCGCTTTCTACCTTGGCTATTATCTCTTGCTTGGTTTCTACGATGAGCACAGTTCTTGACACTCCTCTTTTTAGGCTCCATAATATTATCAGTTTCTTTTTTTAAATAAAAAGTTCAGAAAAGCACTTACAAAAATTCAGAGAACAGAAATCAACTAGCCCACAAAAAATTATTTAAATGCAAAGCTTGAATGAAATTCGAAATTTGGTATTAAAACATTAACGAATATCCGATGGGACAGTTAAACTTTCACCTTTCGTAAATAAACCCAGATGCAAAACTTAATGAGTGTCCGTCCAATAGTCTCGCAAAGACTATAAAAAATTATTTGTCAGAAAGGTAAACAAAAAGCTGCAATTACAGGGGAGAGTTTCAAAATTTGGGGAATATTATACTATCCGGTCGGTATGGGGTTGAGTGTCAATGTTACATCTCCCGCATTCCGGAAGGTTTCAAATTGTTACCTGAAGACAAGGGAAATCAATCGGTACTCGTTATTTTCTGTCGCTTCTTTTTATGGTTGTTCAGTAAAGTGTTCGTTATCCGAACATGTGTTTGTTGTCCGATCATAAAAATCTTTCGCAAAAGTGTTTGTTATCTGATTTGTTTGCTATCTGAACTGTTCATTAACCGATCACCCACTGTATTTCAATATATGAAAATGATCATTTTTGAGGACTTCAAACTTTTAACATGGAAGCTGATGCATGTTTTCTGTCTTCTATAAAAAATATTCAGCTGTCAAAAAATGGATATTAACCCCTTTCAATGATAACTTTCTTGTTGTTCTTTTGGCCTTGCTTTGTTGATGTTCTAATACTAATTCAGAATTTTTAATTTTGAAATTTCTTAGTGTATTGTTTGGTTAAATATAGTGATTACTGTAAACTATATTTTGAATCTTTTACAAGAAACTTAAAAAACTTACAAAGACTGACTGGAACTTAGAATATGTAAGCTGCTTGATTTACAGTGTATTTGGAGTTTACAGTTCTTAAAATGTTAATCTATACATATGTGAAAATCTGGACAGAGTCTGGCCTCAATTAGTCCAGATTTTCAATGTTGCAGTATGGTACCAAAAGTCTTCATAGTAGCACTTTTTAGTGTTACAAGCTATCTGATCATAATCCTTGTGTTTCTTATGGGGATATTTAAAGTGTGGTTTATTGGCTACACATAACAAATTTGGTAACTTTGAAAGACAATATCACACCTTGTGAGAAGTATCACAAAGGACCAATTATATTTGGCCATTGAACACTGTTTATCACCTTTGAATTTTACACTTTAGGAATGACTACCACATTGAGCAGTACAGTAATACCCCGAACTTACGCAATAGGTGGGACCGAGCGGTAACCGTGTAAGTTGGGGTATAATTTCACATATAAATACATACAAATAATTTTTAATTGGGGCCGGAGACTAAAGAAAACAATAATTTAGAAAAAAATGTTTAATAAAATCTTAGATAATACATATGTATAACAAATTAGGCCTATATTATTTTACAATTTTTCACATTTACTTGATTATTACGTCATAATTTTAACATTGTTTCCATCTCAGCAATAATACTGTGACTTTTACGAATGATGCTTCAATTTAAAGATTGAGCATTTTTCACAGCTTCAAGAATTTTTTCTTTGCCTTTTATAATTGTTCTGACTGACAGTTCCGGTAGATCAAACTTCTTTGCCAATTCACAAATTTTCATTTTTGTATCGAAGTCTTTAATAATGGGTACATTCGTAAAGTCAAACGAGTTAAATGCGTTAGTAACTAATCGTTCGAAAAGTCTAATGAAATAGGAATAACGATGATGTAATTCTCATTTAACTCGTTCAACTTTACGAACATAGCCAATGTTAACTTTACATTCCAAAGATAAAGTTTTTCTTTTCTTGTTTGATGCAGAAGAATTAGTTCTACTTCATTTGGATGACATAGTAGAGTCTCTCAAGTCTCCGTAGATATAACAAACAGAAATAAATAACACAAAATAAATTGTAGCTATGTGTGGATTCCGCGCGACACATCCGAACATGTAAGCTGAACAATAGTGTGGGGGGGAGTGAGTAATCAAGGGCTGCGTGGCGCTCAAACAAAAGACGAATCAACGAGATTTGAAAATCGCGTAACTCCGGGTTCACATAAGTCAGAGTAGCGTAAGTCGAGGTATTACTGTATTCCTTACATTGCTATGATTTTGGTATAGTATGAGTGTCTTGCATAAATAAAGTTTTGCTTGCAGTGCCAAAAGTACAACAGTGGTGCATTTTGCTACTAATTTTTTCTTGAAAATGTCTTTTGCAAGGCCTGAAAAGTCACCTTAAAAGATTTGGTTGCATTTGAACTGCTAAATCTCTCTCTAGACTGCATTAAATGGGAAAAATTTAATTATGATCACCTGGTAACATTAGACATAGCAATATTGATGTACAGTACATTATGAATAACCTAAAGCCTATGAAAAATGGTGATATATAATGCTATATAATATTTTAACTGTGGAATTACTGTATATATAATTTTTTTTTTTATTGGAGACTGAACAGAGATTCTGAAATTAAATAATTCATTCATTATCTTGTGATAGTTATATTTAGTGTTGACTTGTCTGTCAGATTTTTATTTTAGAAACTCTGAAGGCGCAGGAATTAGTGTTGATGGATTTCAATGTTCTGATTTTGAATGGGAAAGAGTAAAGTAAAATATTTTGATGGATGTATTATTTTAACCGATAGTGTCATGCAATTTCCATTTAGCTGGCTATTGGCTTAAGAGAGATTTTCTATTGTTTTTTCATGTATAATTATGCTGTACACAATTGCCATTCTTCAAATTTGATGATTCTGAAAAATCCTTTGTCTTTTCTGTATGTGTCAAATTTCAAGATTGTATTGTTTAGTTTAAGAGAGAGTTTTGTTTACAGAAAAACATCTTTAATCCTTCTCCCATAAGAAATCACCTCAAATTTGCAACAGCATGGACCAATGTAAAACAAGTTCAGCTGGAAATGAATGAGAGAACTGAGGTGTTTCTTAAAAGAAGCAGAAAATTATTTTTTAAGAATGAAATAAAGCTGAGAAAAATTTAAATTGTTGAAGGTCATAGTTTCTTAGGCTTAAGTGTTTGAAAGCATGATGTCAAGACATGGTATTCATAGTGACTTACAGACCACCACGTCGTGACATGCTACATAGTTGACAAACCTCCATGACATCATGACTCCCTTTTGAGGAAGTCTCGGGAAGTCTTCATGACTAAAGCATTGAAAAATGACAGAGTAGAAAATCACTACTTTGCATATATGGGGGAAAAATTGTACATGGGCTTGTGATAAACAGAAAAGATTTTTCAACTAAAATTTTTATATAATAAGATGAATAGCATGTAGCATGAAGATACCTTGTAGCTAAATAAGTTAATTTGGTGAAAATTTACTGTGAAAAAAAAACTAGTAAGTGTAGAAAACCATTGCTTATGATCATGGGTTAATAAAGAATTTATTCAAATGATATAGATCATTTGAACTACTAAGCACCCTTCCAATTGCCATATATCATTGGGCTATAATTTGGTAATAATAATTATAAATTACTAATGAATTTGATTCTACAAGGATGTGTTAGGTACCATCATGTTATAATTATTAAATTTAATACAGGATGGCACCTAACGGCTCTCTCTAGGGTCAAATTCATTAGTAATTTATAATTATTATTACCAAATTTTAGCACAATGATATACAGCAATTAGAGGTGTTATTGCAATGCATCAGGTAGTTAAGATGTTGTTTATATCCATTAAGTGCACCATTATATATATATATATATAATGATGCTTATTTTAAGCTAAATTTAATTTTCAAAATATAAATGAATGTATTGAATAATAGTTTAAAAATAGAATATAAAATGAAGTTAATATCATATCAAATTATTTATTAAATTTTTAACAAATTATTTAAATTGTTTAATTTTTATAAAAATATTGTTTCAGGGAAAAGAAATGGGTAACTATTGGTGACACAACAATGAAAATTTACAAATGGGTTCCAGGTATGTTACTTTTCAAAGTGAATTTTTGTTGAAATTTATTTATTTATTTATTTATTTTTTAATGATATTTGTTTTATTTCAGTTACGGTCTATGAACAAACTCAGGTTTGATATGCATACCTAATTTTTTCACTAATTAATAAATAAAGAAGTCTCAAAATCTGAAATGATCGGGTGTAGAATGTTTCCAGTTTATGCAAATATTTTTTGATAATTTTACAGAAACATTAATTCAAGTTACTTGTTTTACATCTATAAGTTAATTACATCAATAATTATTTCTATTAAAATTTTTAACTAAAAATATAATATGAAAGATATACACAGTGTTATATATAAAATCCTTAGTGCATAAAAAGATTTCGCCATTAAGACAGCATTTAAACATCAATAATGAAAACCATCTTCTAAATTGTATGGTGATAAACAATACAATTTCTGATTTGTACCATTAAATACAAATAAAAAAATTTTTAAATTATTTTAAATTTTAATTGCCTTTTATATATAAATTGTGAAACATTTAGAAATTATTTTAAATTGCAAAATTTTTATCATCTGAGTGCAATTTTGAACTGTAAATATTGGTTAAATTAGCACAAAATTTCAAAATATTCTCTTTTTTTTTATAGTGGCAGTTCTATTCTTGCCAGTTATATAATTTTGAAATCCTAAACTTGTCATACTCAATTTTAGGGAAGCATATATAATAATAGTTTTTAAAAATCTTGGCATATCTCATATTACTTTTAAAAGTATTTAAATATCCAAATTTAATGTCTAATATTCTTCTAGTTGTTCTAAAGTTTTGATATTGTTTCAAACCATTGCAACAGGTAAACATTAAGATTTTTCAAAAATTTATTATGGGACCAGTTTATCATTTAGGGCCAGTTGCATGAGCTAACATATAAATTACATAACAAAGTTGACCTTGTCACTAAGATAAAGAATAAGCTAAGCTTGTGTTTCACAAGTTTCTTTGACTTGTCAGATAGTTTTTGTTCAGTTAGCTGAAAAATTCTTACTGTGTGGTCACATTGGAAACAGTGGTAAACAAGATGGAGTAAATGAAAGTATGGAACAGATTGGAGTATATACAAAAAATGTATATTATGAATTTTGGTGGGTTGCATCTACAATATTTTAATAAAAAATAAGATTCACTTAGTTTTATGTTAATTTTCCAAGTTAACTTTTTAAATCAAAAATAATTACTAAACATTTATTATAAGATCTGACCGTTCTTAATAATAATCTGCCAATAAACTTCTTTTAAATATTGTAAATAAAGGTTATCCACATTGGAATTGGAGCTGGTCAGCCATCTTGTTTCTTTGCTAATCTACAGAATAAATTTTAACAACCTGTAATTGGTTGGTTAACTTAACTCATCAATTTATCCCAAAGATTTACACTCATGCAATATGTCAAGGAGTAATTCTATAGATTAAAGTGCATTTTATCTTGATTAAAAACTATGCAACTGTCTCTTAAAGTTTAGTCTAATTTATAATTTCTGTCTGTAGTGATTAAATTACAAATATTATTTGCAAGTAACATTTATGACAAAGATTTTGCATTCTTACAAGTTAGAAATAAATTGTAACAGATAAAGTTGATAACTCTGTCCAAAGTAAGTCAAAAATAGAATGTTTAGGTAATTTCTGGTTCATAAGAAGCTATTTTAAATATGAATTTTTAAGATTTAAAAATTGATTTAAATCTACTAAACGTTAATTGAAAGAGCAAATATGGAATTTTAAGCTATTGGTTAATTTTGTAAATTAGCATCCACCTTAGGAGAAATTTCAATGTTCAACAATTAAAAAAAATTGTTTTAGTTCAACAGTTACATATTAACTGTTTATTTTTAACAGAATGTTTTGAAAAAATATATATATATATATTTTTTTTTTGTTAAGAATTTATTGAGGAAGATAAATATTAGTATTAATTATTGAATGTGTAAATGTTGTAGTTTTCAACAATTTTTGTGTGTGCCAAAAATAATGCTTGGGTTTAGTGATTGAAGATTTTATATGAAAATTCTAGATCAACTAATCCAAATTATTCAAAAATTGCAATGTATAAATTGTTTAGGAGAGATAATTTAATTAGAATTATTCATTATGAGAGATGGGACAACTAAAAACAATTCTAGGGGGACAATTCAAACAATTCAAGTAGATAAGGTTATTTTTTTAATTTGGAATTTTTTAATTAGAATCTGAGATTGTGGAAGCAGAGAAGACATTTATTTGCACATAATTTTATGATGATATTCAAAAACATTCATGAGAATATATAAATAGATTAAATTCCTCTTTTAATATTTGCTGAATTTTTACGAAAATGAATACTTTAAAATATTAATTATATACAATTTACTATATATTTTTCCAAATTTAAAATAATGTTTTTAAATTTCATATTGGCATAAATTAAAATTTTTATCTAATTTTGTATTTAGTAAGACAAAAATAGAGGATAATTTTTGAATTTTTCAAAAAAAATTAACTTAATCATTATTTGAAATTTCCAATATTTCAGATTTTTAAGACTTAATTTAATTACTCAGTATAATTTTAATTTTGTTTACTAAATGATAACATTAAGAAATACAAAGGTCAATAACTTTCTTTAGCCTAGAGGAAAAGCTAAAGGTACGGGAAGTGGAAATAAAGAGAATATAGAAAAATGCGGAAAAGCTGGAGATAAAAGTGGAAAAAGAGGTAAGTAATTAAATATTACATAATCTTTTAATANCCATGACATCATGACTCCCTTTTGAGGAAGTCTCGGGAAGTCTTCATGACTAAAGCATTGAAAAATGACAGAGTAGAAAATCACTACTTTGCATATATGGGGGAAAAATTGTACATGGGCTTGTGATAAACAGAAAAGATTTTTCAACTAAAATTTTTATATAATAAGATGAATAGCATGTAGCATGAAGATACCTTGTAGCTAAATAAGTTAATTTGGTGAAAATTTACTGTGAAAAAAAAACTAGTAAGTGTAGAAAACCATTGCTTATGATCATGGGTTAATAAAGAATTTATTCAAATGATATAGATCATTTGAACTACTAAGCACCCTTCCAATTGCCATATATCATTGGGCTATAATTTGGTAATAATAATTATAAATTACTAATGAATTTGATTCTACAAGGATGTGTTAGGTACCATCATGTTATAATTATTAAATTTAATACAGGATGGCACCTAACGGCTCTCTCTAGGGTCAAATTCATTAGTAATTTATAATTATTATTACCAAATTTTAGCACAATGATATACAGCAATTAGAGGTGTTATTGCAATGCATCAGGTAGTTAAGATGTTGTTTATATCCATTAAGTGCACCATTATATATATATATATATAATGATGCTTATTTTAAGCTAAATTTAATTTTCAAAATATAAATGAATGTATTGAATAATAGTTTAAAAATAGAATATAAAATGAAGTTAATATCATATCAAATTATTTATTAAATTTTTAACAAATTATTTAAATTGTTTAATTTTTATAAAAATATTGTTTCAGGGAAAAGAAATGGGTAACTATTGGTGACACAACAATGAAAATTTACAAATGGGTTCCAGGTATGTTACTTTTCAAAGTGAATTTTTGTTGAAATTTATTTATTTATTTATTTATTTTTTAATGATATTTGTTTTATTTCAGTTACGGTCTATGAACAAACTCAGGTTTGATATGCATACCTAATTTTTTCACTAATTAATAAATAAAGAAGTCTCAAAATCTGAAATGATCGGGTGTAGAATGTTTCCAGTTTATGCAAATATTTTTTGATAATTTTACAGAAACATTAATTCAAGTTACTTGTTTTACATCTATAAGTTAATTACATCAATAATTATTTCTATTAAAATTTTTAACTAAAAATATAATATGAAAGATATACACAGTGTTATATATAAAATCCTTAGTGCATAAAAAGATTTCGCCATTAAGACAGCATTTAAACATCAATAATGAAAACCATCTTCTAAATTGTATGGTGATAAACAATACAATTTCTGATTTGTACCATTAAATACAAATAAAAAAATTTTTAAATTATTTTAAATTTTAATTGCCTTTTATATATAAATTGTGAAACATTTAGAAATTATTTTAAATTGCAAAATTTTTATCATCTGAGTGCAATTTTGAACTGTAAATATTGGTTAAATTAGCACAAAATTTCAAAATATTCTCTTTTTTTTTATAGTGGCAGTTCTATTCTTGCCAGTTATATAATTTTGAAATCCTAAACTTGTCATACTCAATTTTAGGGAAGCATATATAATAATAGTTTTTAAAAATCTTGGCATATCTCATATTACTTTTAAAAGTATTTAAATATCCAAATTTAATGTCTAATATTCTTCTAGTTGTTCTAAAGTTTTGATATTGTTTCAAACCATTGCAACAGGTAAACATTAAGATTTTTCAAAAATTTATTATGGGACCAGTTTATCATTTAGGGCCAGTTGCATGAGCTAACATATAAATTACATAACAAAGTTGACCTTGTCACTAAGATAAAGAATAAGCTAAGCTTGTGTTTCACAAGTTTCTTTGACTTGTCAGATAGTTTTTGTTCAGTTAGCTGAAAAATTCTTACTGTGTGGTCACATTGGAAACAGTGGTAAACAAGATGGAGTAAATGAAAGTATGGAACAGATTGGAGTATATACAAAAAATGTATATTATGAATTTTGGTGGGTTGCATCTACAATATTTTAATAAAAAATAAGATTCACTTAGTTTTATGTTAATTTTCCAAGTTAACTTTTTAAATCAAAAATAATTACTAAACATTTATTATAAGATCTGACCGTTCTTAATAATAATCTGCCAATAAACTTCTTTTAAATATTGTAAATAAAGGTTATCCACATTGGAATTGGAGCTGGTCAGCCATCTTGTTTCTTTGCTAATCTACAGAATAAATTTTAACAACCTGTAATTGGTTGGTTAACTTAACTCATCAATTTATCCCAAAGATTTACACTCATGCAATATGTCAAGGAGTAATTCTATAGATTAAAGTGCATTTTATCTTGATTAAAAACTATGCAACTGTCTCTTAAAGTTTAGTCTAATTTATAATTTCTGTCTGTAGTGATTAAATTACAAATATTATTTGCAAGTAACATTTATGACAAAGATTTTGCATTCTTACAAGTTAGAAATAAATTGTAACAGATAAAGTTGATAACTCTGTCCAAAGTAAGTCAAAAATAGAATGTTTAGGTAATTTCTGGTTCATAAGAAGCTATTTTAAATATGAATTTTTAAGATTTAAAAATTGATTTAAATCTACTAAACGTTAATTGAAAGAGCAAATATGGAATTTTAAGCTATTGGTTAATTTTGTAAATTAGCATCCACCTTAGGAGAAATTTCAATGTTCAACAATTAAAAAAAATTGTTTTAGTTCAACAGTTACATATTAACTGTTTATTTTTAACAGAATGTTTTGAAAAAATATATATATATATATTTTTTTTTTGTTAAGAATTTATTGAGGAAGATAAATATTAGTATTAATTATTGAATGTGTAAATGTTGTAGTTTTCAACAATTTTTGTGTGTGCCAAAAATAATGCTTGGGTTTAGTGATTGAAGATTTTATATGAAAATTCTAGATCAACTAATCCAAATTATTCAAAAATTGCAATGTATAAATTGTTTAGGAGAGATAATTTAATTAGAATTATTCATTATGAGAGATGGGACAACTAAAAACAATTCTAGGGGGACAATTCAAACAATTCAAGTAGATAAGGTTATTTTTTTAATTTGGAATTTTTTAATTAGAATCTGAGATTGTGGAAGCAGAGAAGACATTTATTTGCACATAATTTTATGATGATATTCAAAAACATTCATGAGAATATATAAATAGATTAAATTCCTCTTTTAATATTTGTTGAATTTTTACGTTTGTTTGAATTGATGC